ACAGGCAACTATTTTCATCCTATAATTTRTGTTTGTTTTTTCTGGTCTATCTTGTTCAGTAATCATTGATATTTTGTGTTTCTGAGTTAAAACCTGAGCAGCTGGTGCAACATGTAAACACCYCCTTTTGTGTTGCTGATAACATATGTTTAATTGAAGTTAATTAAATATAAAATCCCCATAATTTAAAACACCAGCATTAATATGGTTCAAATAGAACACTACATAAGATTTTTTAAAAGCTCATTAAAAGTGCAATAAATTACTGGAAATCCACWGATATCCCAAGAAATGGCAGCAAAAGTAGCATCAGATATCAGAATTACCAGCTTGGTAGGAGCCAGACAAACAAACAAATTTAAACCCAGGGAGACAACAAAACTGAAAGCCAGCTTAGATTATACATAAAATGATCTAAAACCTGTCACAGACCGCTGAGTAAAAGCTAAGACTCTGCTTTTATATTTTCACACATACGTGACCTTATGTTATGTGTTGTTAGTTTTTTTTTCTCTTGCTGTTAGCCAAATTTCCCTCCGTTCAAATGTCAAACAAGCGCGTGTGCTTGGCTATTTTTAAAAAGCCCTAGCTTGTTTCAGCGGAGAGACTTTCAAGCCTACTTCTCAATTATCTCCTGAGCAAAAAGGACGAGGAAAAAAAAAGACAAGAAAACATCCCTTACCTGGAAAGAGTCTTCAGACAACGTAGCGTACATTTCCCATCCTCGATGTTTAACCCGCTTCAGTCCAGCACTCGCCGTCACTCCGTTCGGTTTGCTCGCTGCTCATAGTAGTACAAATTCACCAGTCTGTTGTGTGCGAGCGCGTTCTTCCACCCATCTCAAATCTGATTGGCTGCTCAGCCCGTCGATCATACAGAAACGTGTAGTAGACATAGCAACCGCATATAGGCGGGCCGAAACTTGTATACCAGCGTCTCATTGGCTACTGGTTATCTTTTATAGGAAAATACAACCTGTGATAGATAAATACAAAAGAATTGTGCAGAACTCAATTTTTGTCAATTAAATGGATGTCGTAAGTACGTAAAATCGCTCATTGTCAATCTTTATCATAGATTATTGTTTACAAGTATTGAGAAGCTTGTAAAATAAGGAATTGTTTGTAAGGAACTTGCCTTGACTTTGCCAATTTGCGAAGTCGAGCTAAATCATGACCAAATCTGCAAATTAAAAAAGCTATTTATCAATATTTTTAGGATCCTCAGTGCAGTCTGTACTATGCACCTAACAATGATATCAGTTGATGATTGTCATTAAAACTACTAAAATATAAATTAGCTATATTTTTTCCCCTGACTTTCTCTAAACCTGAAATGGTTATTATAGTTTCACATGGTGCACCCTTGTAAATACAGAAATGATTTGGTGGGAAATTGGAAAATTGGTATTTGAAACAAGTATTGGATAATAGCCATGAGCCACTTTTACAACTGGTATATACTGTGTATATATGTGTGTGTGTGTGTGTGTGT